TATAATCTATAATTAATACTGCACTCTCATAATCTAATTGTAAAAGATTTGTGTAAACTTATACATCTAAATAATATTTTATTGTCTAATAAACCATATAAAATATAAATTTATGTTAATAATTCAAGTTTAGTAAATTCTATTTGTATAGAAATATTTTTAAAAAAAATTATAAAATTTTACACAATTTTCACATCTATTTATATGTTTTTCAATACAAATTTCAAAAGTATATGGTAAACAATAATCGATACAATTATCATAGTTGATTTTTTCTTATTGATCTATAGTAAGCTCATGCCTATAATCTCTTTTTAAATGTCCTTTTACTAATTCCATTTCATGTAAAATTCTTATTTATTTATTAAAATAATAATAAATTAAAAAATAATATATAATATTATATTATTATATTTAAAAAATAACATATTTGATTTACATATCTTTTATATAATTTTTAATTAAATTTTTTAATTCTTTAAATACATTATAAAATATTCAGAACAAATATTATATAAACCTCTCAAATCTTCACGATACATATAGAGTTCATCCTGAAATCTTCCCATAAAAACTTGTTCTTTTTATATCATTTGAATATAATTCTGAAAATTTGTTTTATAAAGCTTGTTTATTTATTATCTTGTAAATATAAAATTAAAAGATTTGTTTTTGAATTAATCTTGTATGAACTCATATTGATATTTGCTTTATCTAAAAAAAATATATCAAATTGAGTTTATGCTTTAGATGTGATTCTTTCACGTAAAATTTTAGGTTTTTCTAATTGTAAACATCTAAGACTATTTATTCAAGCATATCATTTGGCGGTTATTATAGTATTAGGTAAAATCTTATAATTTAAAAATAAATAAATAATTTATTAAAAAATTATTGAATTTACAATCAAATTACCTCAAGTTTTAATTGTAAATTTTGATATGAGAAATTATTCACAATAATAGATAATATTCTTTATTTACCATCATATTCTTTTTTGTTTTTTTTATAACTATTATAGATACAATTTCACAATTTTTCTGAATTATCTTTTTAATGCGAAGGATAAATATTTAAGAATCTCTCATTATATAATATCTTTAAAGTAAGTTAATCTTGTTCAAAATTTACTGATTTTATCTAAAACCCATACTATTATAATTATATTGTATATTAATATTAGTAAATATTTTATTTTAATTATATTTTAATTTAATAAAATTACTTATTGAAAATATATCTTTTGTAAATGATATAATATATGTATAACTTGATACTTTTAACATTATATGCTATATATCTAATTCTTGTTTACTTAATTGATATAAATTTGAATAAATTTTTCTAAGACATTCAGTTATCTCAATTATATTATTTAGTTTATTTGACCAATTAATAAAAATTCTCACCAATTAATGTTAGCTTTAGTTTTTCATTTTAAATAATAATTAAATAGAAAAGTTAGAATTTGTTTATCATACCATTCATCTAACTTACATCTTGATATTTGAAATTTACACAAATTAATTGAATCACTGAATCTTCTAATTCAAAAAGCTGCCTTCTATTAATTTTAATCAAAATTCTGATTTTTTTCCATATATCTATTAGTATAGTTCTTTTAAAATTACAAATTATTTCATTTTCATACCAAATGTCAATTTCATAAAAAATTTTTTTTTACTTGTTAGATAAATATACATCATTTTTTTTGTATTAATATACTAATAACGCAGAATAATCCAGTCTAAAAATGATATTAATTAATTAAATATATAATAATTTGAATATTGAAAAAATTATTTATTGTATAATATCTATATTTAGCTATTCTTCTCATTTTGAGCTCTCTATACTATATATAAAAATGTGAAGTTTTTCTACCTCAATAGAAAAGAGTCTAAACTTTACATCGGCTAACAATTTATCAATTATTTGTGAATTATCCAAACTCATCATCGACATTCTAGAATATTTAGTTTTTATATAAAAAATAGATTGATATAAAGAGGTTATCGCACAAGTAGAAGACTTTTCAACTTTACTAGATAAAGAATCACATTGATAACAATAGCCTGATTTTGTAAAACTACTAAGATTCCCTCAAATATACGCATAACAAACATTTTACCATTAATTTCAACTTGAGTTTTTATACTAACTCTAATTAGGTGCTAAAAATTTACATCATTTTCATTATTTTTTGGTGATTGAAATCACCAATCTTATGCATATAAATTATAATGTAAGTGGAGAATAACAATTCCACTTTAAAATAAGTGTTACAGCACTTACAACGTTTAGACATAATAAAATATAAGTAGCGGTAAGAGATTCTAGTGCTCTATAACAATATGTTAATTTAATTATCCTAAAGATTTATTATAAAAAATCATAGTTTGTATTACTGATGATCAGTGGATCATGAATTAAACAACAAAAAAAATTATTTTATTTTAATTCAACTAATAATAGAAAAATACAAGTTAAAAATCATCAGAGTACTTGCATAAGAGAAAAATATTTAGACTCAAAACTACTGTGAGTATTACCTATTAATTATTTGTTTTTAAACTAAAATAAAATTGTTTAATGGTAATTATTAGAAGGATTTGTTATTTACCTGAAAATTAAGTGAATTGATAATTTTTTTATAATGTTCTAATACAAGATGGAATTATTTACCTTGCTTCAATTTCAATAAGTAAAATAAAGACTTGTAAAACATATCTTTTAATATAGTAGAATTTGTTCAAAAACTCAAACAATATTTTTTTATTGATCATTAATTTCATTAATTACATTTTGCATAAAGGAGAATTTTATTTGTAGTAAAAAAAATTAAATCAATATTGTAATAATATTTTTCTTCTCTGCTTTTTGTTAGGTAATAATGTACTTCCACTCTACTTTCTTTTCTTAATGTTTATTATTTTTCTTTCTTCTTGGTAAATTTCATAAGTAATCCTTTTTTTTTTTAATAAGCTTCCAATGTCTATTATTTATTTTAAAAATATAAGAAACAATTTTTCATCTTGTTTTTTTTTAAAATATTTCTGATAATACTATAATTCTTGGGTTATATTGTAGATCTTATTATTTTTGTATAGAGATAATTCTATATATTACTTAAAATAACAGATGGGATATTATAAAACTGTTAATTATAATCACATTACAATCATACTAAATTTTGATCCCTGAAATCCTTGGTAACATCAATGTTCACTTTGTCTAGTTTTGTTGTAGCATGCTCAATATAAAGGAAAATAGGTAAGTTATATAAATAGATTATAACATAATAATCAAATTATAGATATTAGACTATATAGTAGTACTCTGCAACTTCATAATTTATCTAAATTATAGTGTAATATTTGTGACTTTATAATTTACCTAGATTATAGAAAAATACTATAATCTAGTCTAAGTGATATATAACTTTTTAGTACTAAAGAGTAATATATTACTATTTAAATAAAATTAATTCAAAATAAATTTATTTAATATAAAATAAAGTTTAATAAAATCTTTATATTTATTATTATATAGGAAGATTACTAGAAAAATCAGATTTGAGATTTTTTTTTTTAAGATTTTAATCTAATAATTTCAAAAATTAAAATGTAATAAAGATTTAAATATTGTTAAAAAATTTTTAAAACCTGATTTTACCCTTTTAATATATATTGATAATTATATAGATTACAAATGATTTTAATGTAATTTTATATTTTTAATGAATCTAAATAATCCAAATGAGATTTAATGATCCAAAATATAGGTCAAATCATTTTTAAATGATTTAAACAATTATTTTAATGGTTATTAAAGTTATAATTATAAGGTGCGACATCTTAATACAAATATTTTTATTATTATCTTTCTATATTAAGTAAATTTGTTCCTTAGCTAAATCTATATCCATTTATGGTAAAAATAAAAGAGATTTGTTGTATGGGTACATTTGTATTTGAATTAATAAGTAATGACGAATTGTAAGATTGTGAACGCCACATTGATTATTATACTTTCGGATAATTATTCCGGATGGCTCCGCAGCAATGCGCAAGAAGTGGCAAAATATCCAATCATGAAGAAATACTATAAATAACACGCTTTTTTTTGTGGAACGTAAATGAACTATGGGTTCGAACATTAAGGGATCTAAAGAGAGAAAACTTCCGGGAAAAAATTTTGCTTTATATGCTAGACTTCAAATGTTCTATTAAAATGATCAAAAGTATCCGCGATATCTTCCCTAAATATTTCTGTTTCTTTAACTGACTTATTTGATATAATAAAGTTAGGATTCAATTGGTTTCTTTTGCGTAATGGTATATTCCAAAGTTACTTTAAGAACTAGTATACTTGAGAATGTGATTTTCTTTAGATTCAAAGATGCTCATTAGATGCAGTTACTTATTTCTTGTAAATCAATTTCAAAGGACGTTCACAACATTTTTATAATAAGCCCAACCCAATTTATATTATTACCTTTACAAGAAATTATCGTATTAAAAGAATTATTTGCACTTCTGAAAAGTTCAAAAGTACACTGATAATTATTATGTTTAGAAGGAGTTCGAAGAGAAAAAAAGATATATTTAAAAAATAATTTTAAATGTGAATTATAAAGCAATCGACTTATTCGCTAAAGGAATTATATATATATATATATTATAAATACGTTGTTATTCATAGCTTCTGTCACATAATAAAAAAATATACAATCATTCATGTTAGGTTTCGGAATGGATAGAAAGAATCTAATGATTATAGTTTTCCCGGCTGAAATTAGGATCTTGGATGAAAGCGGATAAAACTTTGCTTCCGGTTTGCAAAAGGGGATGACCCGCGACACTAGATGAAACAAACAGATTAAAAAGGTCAGAATACAGAGAATTAAAAACAAAATTCGATAAAAGAAAAATGAGAACAGATATCCATATTTCTTTAATGACGTATTTCCTGATTCAAGTACTACACGTTTGGATAAATTAGGCCACATTGATTAGTAATAATGAAACACACATTTGTAAGAATCTTTCAAGTCCTTCCCGGCGAGACTCAATAACTTCGTCGGTAAAACGGTTTGTAAAGACCTTGCCTGGTAAGGAAGGGATGTTCACCCTTGAAGATTCCCGTTCAAGAACATCACGGAACCATTCAAAGTCACTGTATCTTCTTCGAACCGAAGAAACTTTCAACTTAAAGGCAGGAATATTCGTCTGAATTTTGAAAGAAAATGAATTAAAAAACAAAAAGAATAAACAGAAACAATAATTATTAAGTACCAAATTATTTCCTCAAATCGTTTAGTGAAGCATTTTAAGAACCTGTTAAAACATAAAACAGAAAAAACTGTTGAATCGCGTTATAAAACTCACTCGACAAACAATCTCATAATCAGTAAACATTTTGCGACCAAAACCTGTCGGCATCGGTAAAGAATTTAGCGTGTGAAAGCTCTAATATCAATAGCTTAATATATTGCTTTGGTACTCGTACCGTGAGTTTGTGGGTTCCTCACTTCAATTTCTAGAAAATTCTCTGGTATACCATACATCTCGTCAATTGTCTGTTCTTTCATTTGCAATCGAGAGGTTGCGTCAAAGTTTTTTTGCGTAGGAGAAGCCATCATAGCAAGTAAAAAAAAACAAGTGATAGAAAGTAGTAGGCGTAATAATTATGTGTGCTCATTATGTTCGATCTTATTTCACATCAGAAAATCAAACTAAGCCATTTATGGGTTTCGATGACTTCAAATGCATAATCAGATCATATGTTATTGCACCACCGCAGTTTTTATTTAAAGTACGAATCACAATTTATTACTCATTTTCATCATTTAATACAGTTGAATTGTCACTTGAAGTTTCGGGAGCATCGCTAAGTTCACTACCGGACGAAACACCATTGTTAATGATAACATTAACAACGTTCTTTCCGTTACGTTTTTGATGATTGATACATTTACCTCTCCCGTTAATTGAATTTTCAACCTCGCTATTCTCATTTAATCCATTTTCAACTTCGGATTCATTTTCTGTCTCTTCCTCACTATCGTTCTCATCATTATCTTCGCTGACATCACTATCATTCTCATTTATAGTGTCTGTTTCACTAACTCCCCCCACATTCGATGGACTATCTTCTAAATCACTAGAATTATCTCCATTTTCTTCGTGATCTTCGCTGTTTTCATCTTCGCTATCTTCATCATCTTCCTCATCGCTATCTTCATCTTCATTCTCTTCTCCACTACCATTTTCGTCTTTTGCTTTTCGTTTCCTTTTTCTTCGATTACGGTTTTTGAGGAAATCTTCGAATGCTTGAGTTTCTGGCACAATGTCTACATAATCAATTCATTATTACCCTCCTTATTCAACCCAAGGAGATTCTCACTAATTTCATTTAATTTTACAATACCTTGTAAAAATTCCAAATTTTCATTATTTTTAACCAAGTTGGCTTTATTATACCAAAAAGCATTCATTATTTTTTTGAGCACATTTTAAAAGAGGGTAAAATTTCAGAATCAATATTTGAATTCAAAATAAACATAAAATGAGTCTTGAAACCTTCCTTACCCATATCTTCGTACTGGATGACCTTTCTCCTATCAGACTTTGCTTGTTCCACACCTTTTTTTACAAAATAGTCTACAAAAAGTTCCTGTTGTTATCATGCAAGAATAGATAGAATAAGAATGAAGAAAAATTTAAGTAATGTACAAGTTGAACATTACTAACAAGTTCCTACAACTTTTCAAAGGTGTATATAGATATGTACGGGTCATTTACCGCTGCAATTGCTATTAGAAATGTTGAATCTGTGCCAATTGTTGTTATTTCTTCGTCTAATTTTATAATGCGTTTTACGCGAGCAATTGGGAGTACAGTTGTTCCTCTCGCTTGACTTGCGTCCATATTCACAGAAAACCTTTGAATGCCTCGTGTTTGAAATTTTTACGTAATAAAAAAAAATATAGTTGATTGCTTAAATTTTTATAAATAGTGAATAAAACTTGTGTATTATCTTGTCAACTTTCATCTATCGAATTGAAATTTTTTTTTTTTTTTGTTATGCTTTTAATATTTTGTAGCAAGGAAAATTATATAAAAGAATTATATAAAATCGCAACTCTAAAATTTACAAATTTAACAAAAATAACGGGTAAGTGAAGGGAATATTGTCAACAATCAATTTACTTGGTTGAAGAGGAAACTTTTTTGATTTATAATTAGCGTTTCCCAAAAAAAAAAAAATTTAAATTAGACTATCTCGAAAAACAAACCTTTTATGGTAATGAGATAAATTAATGGCTAAATTCGACAACAATCTTAAATTTTGGCCAAATATAAATTCCCCATGTCCGTCTAGCATTTTTTTTTTTTTTTAAAAAAAAAAAAACTTTTATAAAAAAAAGTAAACCCAACTTTAGATCTACCAGAAAAATACTCATTTAACCACTACAACCTTTAAATACTTCAAAATGGGAGGAGGAGACTTGGTAAATGACTTTAATCACTTGAATTACCGTTGTTAATCTATTTTTATGGTGCAAATGCTTACAACCATCGTATTTTATGTAGAACATGAAAAAATCCTGGCATCCCCTCTTGATCAAGAATCAAGAGCGGGTATGGAAGGAAGAACAAAAAGCATTGGAAGAGCAAAAAAAGCTTAACCAGCTCAGGAAAGAAAAAGAAGAGGAAAGACAGTTACAAGAATTGAGACAGATCCAAGCGACTGTTGGTGGACGGTATTGATTATAAAGTATTTTTACGTATGCTCATATAATAAAGACATTTATTAATATTTGTTAATATATTGTAGAAGAGAGCAGGAAAGGTTAGATTGGATGTACGCTGCTGGACCTAATCAATCTAGCTCAGCCAAAGCTGAGGAAATGGAAGATTATTTACTTGGAAAGAAACGTGTTGATTCTCTTATAGAACAAGGCACCTCTATGAGCATAGTATGTTTTCGTCTTATTGTTTTTCCATAGTTGCAAAGCATTTATGCAACTTTTTTTAACAAAATTTCTTTGATTTAAATAGTTGTCTGCTGATTCCAAAGAAATCTTTAGCAGCATTAGTAATCCAAATGCTAATACTTACCGAGATACTCAGGCAAAAATTCGAGAAGATCCATTATTTCTTATAAAGAAAACTGAACAGGCCAATATAAAATCTATCGTTTCAAATCCACTTAAAATGAGAGAAATTCAAGAGGTAATATATATAACCGAATAATTAGTTGAAAGTATCAATCAATACAAACTAACTTTTTACAATTTAAACGACTGACATAATTATTTTTGGTCATAACGTAATATTTTGCAAATTAGAAATCCAATAAGAAAAAAGAAAAAAAAGAAAAGAAAAAAAAATCAAGTAAAAAACACGATGAGGATTTACATAAAGAAAGGAGCAAGAAATACCATAAAAAGAGGCCTTTTGCAGATTCTGATGATGCAGATTCGGTAAGGTCAATTGAACAAGATAGAAATAATCGTTCTCAAAAACGTTCTCGTGAGAGTAAAATTTTTGAAATGATGAATGATGCAAAGAAAATTTCTGAAGAGCGAAAGAAACGCGTAGAACAGTCCACAAAGGAAGAATATGAGGAAGAGAAGAAATTGGACGAGGACAGAAGGCGACGCGGCATGCAATCCGACTTTTTAAAGTAAGTGTTAATGTTGTCTATGGTATTGTAATTAAGAACTTACCATATTTAAAGAAATTTTAAATTACTTCACAGAAACGCTTATAAATCGGCATATTCTTCACATTCATCAATTGGTTTGGGAGAACGTTTACAAAGACATCGTGGTACTTCACAAAAAATATCAAGAGAAGATTAAAAATTCAAGTATATATCTTATAATCACCATTCATCAGAAAAAATAGTAATTATTGTATATGAAATTTAATATCTAAATCTAGTTAAACATTGAATACATATTTGAAACCAGAAAGTGGTTTTATATTTAGGAAAAAATTCTATATTTATAATAATAATAAAAACGCGTTAAAACTATTTATAAATTATCATTGGCTTAATTGGTAATGAAAAAAATTGTAAATTATATAACAAATACTTAAGATCGAAATTGACTATAAAAATTTAGTAGCCAACTACAATAAATTACAAAATTCAATTTTAAGCTTTTCGTGTTTCAATAAAAATTCCTTTCCAATAACGAATTGTCTCTAATCGATATTGTAGCCAACTATCACGTAATAACACCTTAATATTCTCATCTAAATACCCTGAAAAATATATGTAGATAGTTAATGTCTGGATGTACGTATTCATAATAGTGGACATTCCTTTTTTGAAGATAAAAAATTTTGATAATATTAATTCCTTAGCTTTTTCCAAACCTTTATCTAATTCTCCTCAAGAATTGGAATTTATAACAAGGATCAGCGTTTTTTTTATCTTCTAACTTTTGCTTCTTTTCGATTAAGCAATTGATATATTGCGGGTAACTAATTTGCACTAATCCTACTTTACCGAATTTCGACTTGATCGGATCGAAATTATTATTTCTATTAGAATATGATATTATTTCAGATTAAATATCTTGATAATTAGACTATTTTTTATTGTGTTGATTACCTACAAAATTTAGCTTTTTTAGCAAGTTTGATTTAAAAATAACGGTCTATTTTTAATGGAACTTTTAAACAGTTATTAGCAAGATGTACTTCTGAATTTAAGGTAAACCTTATGCAGAAAGATATTACAATATAGATAGGTGGTCTCATGAATATATTTTTTTGATGTAATATAATAACGTAATTATATGTTTTTTATGACACAATTTTTAATTATAACATAATATTTCGTCATTGGCTTTTAATTTCAAAATTATTTTAACTTTTTGATATTCTTTTGTTTTATTTAATATAGGTTTTTTATAAAGATTTAGCCTATTACCTAAACTTTTCTTTTCTTTTTATGATAGTATTACTGTATATCTAGTAAAATAATAGGAGAGGTTTGAAAATTTTCACCTAACATCTTATAAATAAACTACACATATATAACTAAATATTGTAATTCTAAGTATTATTTATAGAACTAATATACAATCAATTCTCTGTAAATGAATTATCTATAAATGCATACCTTTTCTAAATGCATTTCTTAGTTTGTACTAATAATATTTTGCAAAAAATATTATATAACCTGCTAAGTCTATTATTTTATTCTGTCTTGTAAAGAAAATGCCTTTGCAAATGCTTTTCCTGTCTATATAAATAAAAATATTCTTATAAGAAATCTCAAAAAAATTATTAAAGCTGAGTAATTGCAAACTTTTACTAATATTAACACTAAAGATATTAATTATAGAAGGTAAAAATCTCTAGTGATTATAATAATTCCTTAAACAATCTCAGATTTTAGAATAATAATGAATAATTAGCAATATAATTTAAAAGATTTTTTAAGATAAATTGTAATATAGTAAAAAAGGTTTAGCAAAAGGATTTATAAAAAAATAATCAACTTAATGTGATATAAAACTAGATAAAATAAATTAATAAAGAAAAATAAAATCATCAGCTTTAAGTAAAAATTCTTTTAAGTAAATGCAAGTTTAAGTTAAATTCAACTATTATT